ACACACACACAGACAACCCCGTGGCAATATGCGTTTTGTACTGCTGTTACACAGCACAAAACGCATCAAAATTTAAAACTGGTTGTGGGAAGCAGCCAAGAAAAGAAAGGTGTATTCTGCTTCGAAAGGCAAATACACAGTAGATGTGTTTGCGAGCTGATTCTGGTGAGACGGGTACAGTAGTGTTGAGAACCTCATGTTCGGATACTGAAGAGGAATGATTCGATTTTCCGCAGGTGCATAATCACTTTCGAAAAGGGACTCCGTTCACGGCAGTGTATATGTGACCAATTTGTTTTAAAATTGTTCTGTATGAAAAGAAGCTTCTTAGAAACATAAGCAGCTGCACGTCTTGGATTTGTTTGAGAATCTTTTCTCACAATCGTTCTAATCTTTGGAAAGAGTGTACAGGATGGGTAAACGGGGAATCAGGCGTCGCAGGAAAGAAAGCGGTGATGCGCAACCAGCTAAGGTGGAGTTTTTTTTTTGCCCATATTATCATGATTATATGAAATTGTGATATCGAAATACAGATAAAGCTGCGTTCGAAGTGTAAAGTTATTCAGATTATCGGAGGGGGAGAGGCGTTTCCTGATCAAGTTTAATTATTTGGTTAAATGATGTAAAATTGCATGTATAAAACCAATGATTTGAGCAGTGAAGGTGTAGGTGTAGAAGCCTAAGTTCAATTATGGGAATAGTTTTTCCGCTTAAAATTGATTGGAAAAATTTTGATCCAGAAGTTACTGGCGTTGATTAAACTTTAAATTTTGCCCGGAGAATTCCAAAATCGCATTCATTGACCATGGAACCCCGTATTCAAGCCGTATTCATTGAAATTTCCAAAACCACATTCATTGATAGCCGGCTCAAATGGGATATTTGCAGGGTGTAAGACAGAATTATGTGAGTTCGCAGTTTGATAAAACAAATGAAAATTTTTGCACCTATTATAAGAGCCAAAAGATTGTGGAGAACGACGAGGAATGGGATGCATTTATGGCCGCACTGAAAAGCGATCTGCCAACCTCATTTCGCATCCAGGGAAGCAGCAAGTATCACTTTTACTGCTATTTGAACCTTTTTGTTCAGTCGTATTCTTTGCATACAATTCGCTGGTTGCGTTTTGCTCTCGGAAAACATGCTTTTGAACTTAAAATATATCAGTAAATTGTGTCGATAATGGAGCCTCTTTTCGAAAACGGTTGTGGACCGGGAAGGAATCGAAACACTCCTCTTTATGTGCAGATGCACCAACGACTGTGGTGTTGCGGGATCAGCCTGGCAGCATATCTACTGTGTATTCTGCCTTGAATACTTCAGATACCTGAATCATCTTTCTAGTTCCCCAGCTGCGCAGCTGGCGACTTTTCCACTTTTCTTCGCCAGTGTTGCATTGCTAGCTGTTTTCATGCTGACGACCCTTTTTTCTGGCCATTAAATCACCTATTATTCTTGGGCATACGTTGAAAAATATAATTTTTTAAGTAGATTTCCTTTGAGTTGAACTTTAGTATGAAAGTAAAATAATTGCTCTTAGGCTTAAATCAGCGCTTAGAATCCAACAGTGAAACAAACTTTATGATCCGCCGATTTAATTTTTCGATGTAAATTTACACTAGCTTGTCTAATATGCCAAGAAATCATACTGCTCTCAGCAGCCATCGCACAAGAGTAAGGCACTGGCAGCGCTGTCAGCAGGTTTTACTGCTATATTAAAATGTTATCGGCCGAATCATTTTTGAGTGCTTTTTTTATCGTAGGAAGTGATTAGTTAGCACTACAGCCTATCTTTTAATTAGCACCACAGCCTGTCAAAAAAAAAAAAAAAAAAAACTTATTGTAAAATTTCCAAATTCATTGATCAAAATTTATCATCCATCGGAAATGCACCTGTAATTTCGCAACATATTTTGCATATTTTACAGGGAAGTCGAATTACTAACTGAACTAATGAACAAGCGTTACCTGGAACCGCTAGCGCAGTCGGAAGAAGACAGCGATGTAATTGCACCAAAACCCATTCCATGGTGCCGTAACACCTTTCAGACTCCGCTGTCGCGAACTGAAATACGCAGTCGGCCAGCCCTCAAAGAATTTCATAATTTTCTGGTCACTGAAGCTGAGCTGGTATGTCTCATGATAATCTGCTAGTACTTCTAGAAGGGCATAACCAGTTAAGGTAGATTTTGATAGTAATCAGATTTTGGTTTTGGCATTTTTTTCACTCCTAAGTTTATGTTGTGCGGGATAAATCTACATCTACTGCTATCATTGCAATTTCTTGCTCTTATAGTTTGCAGTTGATTTAAAAGACAGTGCATTTTGAACGAAGAGGCTGCGAATCAGGTTTTTTTTCCTTGAACGGACCTCAGAATTTTCTGTCTTGGAAGAATTGCTAAAAATTACATCAACGGATTTAAAAAAAAAGCGCTGTACTGATGATTCTCACCCTATTTTGCACCTATTCAGCCGTCTGTGTTTACAGTTCAGAGATGAAACACAGACATCACCTAGTTCACAGCTTGCTCACATAAGATGGCTAAATGGCGTTTTTGGGTGTAAATAAAATGAAAATTCGACTGTTCTTTTCTCTGGGGGCCTAGACTGCAGCCAAACTACACATGGTACGTCTCTGGCTCCCTCCTTTTTCCAGTCCCCTAATATAGTTGTTTTAATTGTTTTCAGTGGAAATTTTTTAATAGCAATACAGAATTCTTTCTAATACTTAGTCAAATAAGTGCGAAATTCATTTGGAGGAGTGCAAGAAATTTGCCGAAAAGACATAACTTTCAGACAAAAATGTGCCAAAATTAATTGAGAATGGCGCTGATCTGTAATAAAATAAATGACTGAGTCTTGAAATGCAAAAAAATGTCCTGATTAGTGGACTGGCATTGTGTGAGAAGCATTATTTTTTCTTCATTTGCAATAGAGCTGGACGAAACGGCCTCCTGTTGAATGTACGTTTTCCGTTGTTTAAAGTTTTTTACGAAGGTATATTTTCAGGGCAACATCAGCCGGCAGGAAGCAGTCAGCATGATCCCACCACTTCTACTGGACATTAAGCCCGATCATAAAGTTCTCGATGTTTGTGCAGCTCCTGGAAGTAAAACAGTGCAAATTATTGAAATGATGCATGCGCACGATAAAATACCCGGTTTTTTTACATCAGATTTTAAAAAATTTTATTCATTTTGGTACCAGACCTCTTTTAGAAGGATTTTTGGTATATCTCTGTGTCGTAGAAAACAAATCGAAGGAAAATTTTTTTGACCAAAAAGCTTGTTTTTTTCTCTTTCTGCATAAATTCGGCCAGTATTGGTATGATTTTTTATCAATTTGGCATAAATGTCATTTTTCGATCAAGAAGGGAAAAATATAAATATCCATGAATTCGCAGGTCCTCATTTTTTTAATTCTCATTGTTTTAGTACCAATTCATAGATGCTGAGGATGGTGCTCTTGCACTGCGCAGGATAGTTTTTGGCCATTAATTTGGGTTGAGTCAAAAATCGTTTTTATCTGAGATGCACCTTTTTTTCAGAGGGATTTATCGTTGCAAATGACGCCGATAACTCACGTTGTTATTTATTGGTACGGCAAGCGCTAAAAAGAATGCCAACATCGAATTGTATCGTTATCAACGAAGATGCTGTGTTTATGCCCAATTTAACCGTACGTAGATTATGCATATTTTGAAATGAGGAATAAGACGAATTTTGGATTTTTTGGATTTTTTTATAATGTTTTTTTTTTCTCAAGCTCTTATACCTTATTTTCTCAAGCTCTTTTACATTATTTGATGTAAGCCGCAAAATCAGCGTACATTTGAAGCTATTCTTCGAAAAGACAAGGCAAAAAAACAGAAAAACGAACGTCATGATTGCCGGCATGACCAGGCTTACTGTCAGTTAGCACAGCTTTGTTCAACCAGAGAAAAACTCCCAGATACACTCGCAGAGTGTGGAAACACGCTACGATAGTACAGTTTATGACCAGATTTTGAAAAATTTTTCTATTCAGGATGCATCTGGGCAATTGCTGTTTGACCGGGTACTCTGCGATGTGATGTGCAGCGGAGATGGGACATTTCGTAAAAGCCCAGATATGTGGCAATTCTGGAATCCCGGCAAGGTTGCTACTTTTGTCCTGCGTCCGTTCAAGCAATTATGAATCATCCGTTGCTAGGAATAGCCATTTTGTGATGCATGAAAGTAAGTAGCATATGTGTGGTACATGAAAATTGCTTAGATATTTATTTTAACAAGCAAATTTTTACAGGGCTTAGGCTTACACAAGCTGCAAGTTAATATTGCGCAGCGAGCGGTGCAATTACTCGCCGTAAATGGTACTTTTTGAAATCTCTCTTTTTTATGCTAAATTTTAATTTTGTTTTTTTGATCATTCGAAAATTTAGAAGCCAGTTGAGACATCCGTGTAGGAGTAAATTATCACTTGTTTACGACTCACCAAGTAATTTCAACGCAACACTGCGCTTGCTGGAGGGCTGGGGTTGGGGAAATTAGCAGTAATCTCAGTTAGTTATGGAACAATGCATAGTAGATATCAGCAAGTTGCAGCACATCTTCAATAAAATGCTGTAGTTTCTCTCTGGAAAAAGAATTGGACTCAAGAATGAAGATGAAAAATGAACAAAGCGAGTTATCGAATGGTACCTGCTCACTGCAAAAAAAAACATCGGCAGGACCACAAATTTAGTAGTAGTAGTAGTAGTAGTAGTAGTAGTAGTAGTAGTAGTAGTAGTAGTAGTAGTAGTAG